GAGGCGCGCCCGCGGCCCCGGCCCTTGCGCTGGAGAGGCCGGGGGGGCTCACGGGAGCAGGGCCTTGTTCGCGGAGGGGCCGCAGCGGGGTCCCGCAGCCCCGGAGCGTGAGGACTGAGGGTGGGCTTGCGCCCCCCGGCTGGCAACGACCCCCCCCGGTCCTGCCCCGCAACAGGCTCGTCCTTCGGCGCGTCTGCTGACCTCCGCCTGGCTTTGTGTCCTGTGTGAAAAAAAGGGGGTGGTGCTATAGCGTCCCAAGTCCCCGAAGCAGCTAAACCTGTCGGTGTTTGTGAGATGCTGTGCAAGAGCAACGGGCAGGGGGGCACCAAGGCAGGTTTTCACGTTCTTCTGACCAGTTAGATAATGAACGTAAGTTATCATTGTCTAAAGAATTCACAGAAGGTCCGTGGCTTACTTCTCCCTCTCCCACCGATTCAGTAATCTGTTAACGAAGGAATTCAAGTCCTTGAATATTTAGCAATTAGGAAGGAAATAAAAATGTCAGCTTGACATATTTAGATGGAAAGTAAGACTTCGAATATCAAATTAACTGCATGTTATTATACATTCTGTGGCATGAAAACAAATGGCTGACCGTATAAAACGCTGGAGCAAGATGACATCTCAAGAAAAGCAGCGTTGCTGGTGTCAAGTGTTCACTTGATACGAGTGTTCCTTGTTTCCATTCAATTATTTCCAAATACTTCTTCTTAATGATACAACATTTCAATCTTTAATATTTGCCTTCAGAAGTATAAATCTAGTAGTTACATAATCTGCCCATGAATATCAGTGAGAACTTGAAAACATTCAGGATGATAAAATGTAAGTGCTGTAAGACTTCTCTTTGATCTGCGTTACTGCCTCAGTCAGAGCACAGACTGAAATGGAATGGAACTGCCAACCTCCTGACTTCACTGCCAGGAATATAAATCAACATTAAAGATGATTTTTAAATGAAATAGCAAGTTAAACATTTGTACAAGCACATCATAAAACAGAGGTTGTACTGCCTCTTTTTAAACCTCTTGCCTGCTGGCAAAAATAAAACTGTTCCAGTGACATTTTCTCTGCTCTGCTGTGACAAGGGCTGCATAAATATAGACACCATGGATTAGAATAGACTTCAGCACTCTTTGACTTCCTTTCTAGCAGCCTCTTCTGCAAACAGTTTTCCATAGCTATGGGTAAAAAAACAGGGAGTCTAAAACTGGTATGTATTGCAAGGTGGTGACAATATAGCACGTCCCTGATGGCAGCAGGCATAGCTAACCTTAGGGAAAAGGCATCCTGGCTGGAGGAAAGGAGAGAGTCAGGATTTCTGACCCTGACTCTGATACAGATTTGCTGTGTGGGCTAGGATAAGTTGTGTACTTTGAGATCTTTGATGGCATGTGCAATACAAATGCAGATTTTCCCTTCAACTTTGCCTAGAAAAAGCAAGGAGTGTGATGAACTGTAATGCCAGCCTAGATAATTCTGATGCTTGCTTAAAGAGAAGTCACTCATGTCTCCAGCGGAGAAGCTGCTGGTGCCAAACCAATCAGTGTCACTCAGAATCAAACACAGGGTGGGCTTTTCTTCAGCTAGGAAAACAACAATTTGTCATGTTATCATCTAACTGATTCTGTCCGGTTTTATGCTTTACATTCTAGGTTGAGCCCTCTTTTACCTCCAGGAAGTGAGGAGATGGCTGTTCCTTGCCAAGATGGTGCGGTCAGGTTGCTGGCACACACTGGGCAGGCAAAGGGCTTGTGTCCAAGGTTAGCCAGGGTGATGCTACTTCAAGTGCACATGGTGCTTTAAGTCAGTCATCGCTTGAAAAAGTCACAGGAAAGGAGAGAGGGGCAGCAGATGAAATGTTTGCAAGGTAAATATCCTCTTGGCACTGTATTTTCTACATGAGTTACTGTCAATTAACGCATACAAAAACCCAATGCTGGAAACAAGAGAATAACATTCTAAAGCCTGGGAAAAGCTCCACGTGTCCTTCCTGGTTTCCCACAAAAAAACAGGCAAACAGCTAACTAAGCCAAAAAATGCACACAGCTCGGTGGACAGAGTTTTCAAACAGCCAGGCTGTTTTCTCCTCTCTTCTTGCTTTCCCTTTCTCAGCGTGTTACAACTTATCAGGGTTCTTGCTGTCCGCAGTGTTAAACAAACAATCATGGGCACTATTGTGCAAATCACTCATCCCAGATAACAGATGGATTTTTACATTCTTTCTGCATATCTGAATCCATTATCCCAAGAGGGCCCAGAAGAAAGTGGGCATTAGCTTAATGCAGCTCTGAAAAAGGAACTTTCAATAAATTGCACTTTGAGCCAGTGACCAAATCCATTTCAGCTGCTGGCCTGTTTGAAGTGAGCTGGTGATGGCCTTTAGCCCAGTTCTTAGGGGTGTCCATGGCACAGTATCAGTTTATTTGCTGGCAACCTTGTTAGAAAAGCCAGAAAAGCAATTGGCTTGGACGGTTCCCTTCTTACTTCTGGAGCTTAGTCCACCCAGATCAGATATGGGGCACTCTGGTGTGGTAGGTTAGGGCACAGCTCCATTTTCAGGGCTTTACCTGTTCCCTGCTTATTCCTTCCAGAGCGTTGGCCTCTCACTCTGTTCCTGGAGCTCCTTTCCCCAGCACTGACGTCATTCATATGTAAGGGGGAAGAACAAAGACAGCAATCGCCTATTTTCTTGTGTGATTTTTCAATACCCATTTCCCAATCCCGACGTCCAAAGTAACAACATCCTTTCAAACCGCCCCCTCTTGAAATGCCACAGTAGTCAAACAGCTGCAAATCAAAACACCTTGTAAACAAGTGACTGAAATCCCGTGGGATGCCCGAGGGCTTGGGCACGTCTCAGAGTGATTATAGTTCCTGCTATACAAATTGGAGTCCATGTAGCACAGTTTGTGCCAACTCCGAGCTCTTGCTTTTTATTTTTAGTCCTGTTTGTCGAGGGGTTCTCATGATAAAAAGAATGACGTTCAGTATCAGTGATACACAGATGAAATTAGATAGTAGCCGGAAGTGATCGTACGACTAATCCTCCCCACTGAGACTTTTTCCACAGGATTTGGGATCCTGTGGGCTTCAAGGACAGCTTTTCTCTGGGCGAATTTCACTTCCCATCAGCAGGCAGCTGAAAAATTGGACTTGCATAGGATGTATGTGGTGAGTCTCATGCAAAGAAGTGAATGTCATTGTCATTGCTTATGCCAACAGCTGGGACCATCTGGGACACTAAAGACAACATTGTCTAGATGTGTACAGCTGATCGAAGGTTGTTTTTAGCAAGCTTCTAAACCTTCTTCCCTTTTTGGGGCAACGAAACAAGGCTTTTGCCTTCCATGCATGGGGTTTTGTACACAGAGCAGCTTAAGTCATCAGCAGGGCTCAGTCCTGAGACTTTCTAGTCCCCCAGACATAAGTCATCCACACTGATGCTGAAGACATTATTCCTTTCTTTGGAAGAAGCATCTGCCTATAGGGAGGATGG